GGTCGACCGCCTCAAGAACATCTCTGGCATCAACAAACCCCTCTTCTTCCCGTTCGGGTCTGATGCTCCTGGAGCCTCACGAAGAAAGATTTCATGTCTCGCCAAGACAGCCTGCCACACAGAAATCGATTATTGAAGAATCCCACGAGCATAATGAGCCTCAGCCTGCTCCTCCCAAGAAGAAGCACAAGAGACGCCACACCCAGAAACGCTCCCGAATGGGTTGCTGGATTTGCCGCATCAAGCACCTAAAGTGCGACGAGACTAGGCCTGTTTGCAACCACTGCAAGCGCTTCGGCGTTGCCTGTGACTACAACCCGGACAGGCCCGATTATGTTTCTGACATGAGCCTCCGGCGCAAGAAACTCAATGAGCTTGCATCTCAAAGGCGCAGAAAGAGACGCTGAACGCCAAACCGTATGTAAAATAGACTTGACGAGAGTAATGTTGCGTGATAAAAATCTTCATTGAAAAAACGTAGGAATATCTCCAGGAATGCCATTCGCTTAACGTGCATGGGGCCGCCTCGGAATGGGCATACACTTTGCCCCAGCCGCAGCCTTCATAATGCCCAATCTCACCTCTTGCTGGACACTTTCTCATTCTGTGCCAAGTCGCCACACATATTAACGATGGCCACTACCTCGTATCGTGCTACGGCAACCCATTCAAGATTTTCCTTCAATGATGTAACATGCAAGGCCCGGCAGGTTATTGGCGGCAGGTGGCCCCCCATTGTAGTCTCCACCCGTCCTCGCATGAAACCCCCATTGTTTAAAGCTAGGCTTGCCTCATAACAATACCTGAATGCTTTAGATAGCGCAAATCCCATCGGCGTTAAACGGTCAATAATGGGTTTACCCGATTGCCATTCACCTGTAACATAATAGCTTGACGACCAGCTTTTTAGCCTCTTTCATTGTTGCTGATGTTTCATTTCTCATTCCAGTTCCGTCCAAGCGAGGCAATCAAAATCACCTGCCTTGACAACTATCTCCTTGTTCCTTTCGTCCATCCAAGGGACAAGAATTTCAAGCCGTTATCAAGAATATGACCTCATTGCAACGAGGCAAACCTTCAAAAAACTGCTTCTAAAATTAGCAAAGGGTTCCCGACCTGAAAGCAGTTGCATAATTTTGCATTCCAAGTCAAAAGCCAGCAAGCTTATTCCCATTCGGCAACCTGTATCCTCTTTCTGATGACAAACTCGGTTACAGGTGGTGCATTATTTTCATTCTCCGCTCCCGTTGGTTCCGGCGTCGAGGAATTGGCCCCTTTACGGAATTCTACCATCGAGATATGATCCCCATCAAAGCCAATCCATGGTCCATGCAAGGGGTCACGGAGATAAGGGTGAGTGTAGTCTGTGAACTGCTCCCTCTCCTCATCCACGGTGGAAACCTTCCGACGATGTCTAATTGCGCCTGCGCTATACGAAATTGAGTAATCTCCATCCAACAAAGCGGAATTCTCTGTTGGCAGCAAAACGCCATCTGATGATGGTGTGGGGTATCCTGTCATCTGCTCTGGGTCGGGCATCTGCAAAGGAGGGGGCTTTCTGGCCGTGAGACTGTCGCTACTGATGTTGAAGCCACCATCATAGCCTAGATTGTGTGAAGATCCAGCAGCAACCAGCAGGGAGTCGTCATCAAACTCTTTATCAAAGTTGTACGGACTTTGAATCGCTCTCAAAGCGATGAAGTCATGCAATGGCACATAGAACTTCTCGAAATTCCACCAAACCAACAAGGTAACAATGAACAAAGGAGTACAAAGAACGGAAAGTAAGATGGCTCCCTCGAGGGCTAAGGTACCGCACATGAATAGCTGGAAGATCAATAGCCCGAGCATCAAGCGTCTGAATATCATGGGCCAGACCTTGCCGGTGGAGTGAGGAGGATGAACAAAGCTGTAGATGAGCTGGTATTTGTAAACAAAGTGACCCATTAGGAAGTAAACAAGACCACAAGCAACGATTTTGGTTGAAACAACTGAATAAATAAGGATTATGATGAAGATTAGGATGTGTTGGGGGAGCTGAATTCCAAAGTCGAAGACAGGTGGTGTGAAGTAGTAAAAGCGGTAGTCCCTTGGGGTCTTGAGAAGCATGTTCCTGAGCAAAAAAAGCTTTCCAACAATATTCAAAATAAGGAAGTCCCCAATTTGGAGAAGACGTACCGGGAACATGGCTAGACCCTGCAAAAGAATCAAGTCTGCGTAAAACAAGGAAAGCTTCTTTAGGGAACTTGCCAATTGTGATGCAAACTTGGTGGTGTCTCCAATGGAGGTGAAGTAGTCCCATAATGTTCCTGTGATGGTGAACACCAAGAACAAGATGAAGAATACGAAGAAGAAGTTCTTCAGAAGACCTGAAAGCTCCACCTCACTAGACGAGGAGTACCCTTGAAGCTGCGAAACATAGTTGTAAAAGTATGGGATGAGCACGGTGATGACCGAGAACAACATGGGTGGCAAGATACCAGTGACGAAGGTACTGAGCCATTTTGACTCGGCAATCTTGTGTCCTAGCGTGGGCCAAACCTTCGTGATGGTCTTCACGTCAATCAAGGTCGATAAGGACGTCACCAAGAAGAAAATGACCGAGTAACTGAGGATGATGAAAAAGGTGACCATGTAAGATTTGAAAGCTTTTTCGTAGCGGGTAAGCTTCAAGTTCCTCCATTCGATATCCTTGGCTGCCGGCGCCATGGATACCATGAGCTTATACACCCTGGGGTCAAGAACAGTCTGTGCGGCCATCTGAGCCGAGGCCACTGAGTCCATGGTAATGAAAGCGGAAGGCGTGATCGAAAACTCGCCATCTTCAACGGGCATGGTCGAGGTTCTCGGGTTGTACTTATTCTGCAAGCTCAAGATCTTCTTGTCCACGGCAATGAGTTTCACTGCAAGATCATCAATCTTCTTGCGTAGGTGTGTTTTCTTCGTGGAGGTGGCAATGGGAAGCTCGGGTGCATGTTCTGGGATAACCCGGGGTGTCCTAGTCTGGTTGTAGAGGTCCACCTTCAAGCCGTAGTAGTGAGAGTAGAGTTTCTCTAAGCTCGAGATTAGCTCGTGGCGTTCGTCAAAGAGCTTCTCGAGCGGCGTCCAGTCGTATATGAGCTTGACGTCCACCACATGGCCGATGCCCAAATCCTCAATGAAGTGTTTGAGGAGCACGGGGTCATTTTGGCGGATCAACTTCTTGGGAATCCCGTCAAGCTTGATGGTACGGTCTGTGATGGAGTCCTGCGACGCAAGGTACTTCTGGCGGGTCTTGATCACGGCCGCCGTAAAGTCGAAAAGCTTGAAATACACGATAGCCGAAAACACCCATGTGAAGAGCGGGTACACCCAAAGGTACTTTGGAAAATCGTCGTCCATGTGTGGCCCAGCATCCTTGTGTTCAACAAAGGAGATATTGTCACGGTCGTAGTTCCCCGTGAAGATGTAGCGGGTCGGACTAAGCACCAATACGCCCCAGAGCGCTAGAAGCAGAAAGATGTAGATACCCATTTTGAAGAACGTGAGCACCACATAGGCATCGAGCCCCAGGCATTCAAGCACCTCCTTCTCGGTGATGGACCACACGGAGAACACCCACCTGAATAGGTCATTGGGCAAGGACCGGTCCCGGATCAGGTTCTTTCGTAGGGTCCTGACCGCGTACATGTGAGGCCATTTGCGGCGCAAAAAGCAGAATAGCAAAAACATCGAGGATCCGATGGCCAACGATAGCACAAGCTGGGTTTTGAACACCCGCAGCTGGCTCGGGCCGTAGATATTATTGCCGTCGTCAGGCATGGTTGTTTAGCTATTGCGGTTGGAGACTTGATTTTGATGTAGGCGAGCATCAACCAGTGCAGGAGGTTGCTGCACGAGGCCTATCTTAGCTGTCAAGGGTGTGGAGGGTGAAAAGTCGAATTTGATGGTTTTAATTGAGGCAAGGTTTTCATGTGAAAAATGTTCTGTTGATGTTGACGGTAGACGTGGCTTGGGTTAAGCGAGAATGTGGTGCAGATCAAGAGGTGTAAGCCGCCAACGGTTGAGGGGAAGGCCCTGCTATGGATGTTGTCGGGTAGTGGGGGTTTTTGGTTTTGAGGAGTTTTGATGATTTTGTTGATTTGAACGGTTTTTTTGGGTTTTCTGTGGTGGTTGCGTGGTGGTTGCAAATACCATTGAGGTTAGGATTAGTGAGGGTGTCAAGCTTGATATGGAGTGCGATAGGTGGTGGTGATCAATGAGGCTACAAGTTTCTTATCACATTTCTTATCACAGAATGACGTATTCTTATTGACGCAAAGGGTCACATCCGTGGATAAATTTGAAGTTTCGTACTTTTGATAATTTCGAAGCGATTTTGCACCCAAAGTTGTATGGTGGGCTACAAGCATGGTAAAAGAATCTGAAGAAATAATTTACTTTCAAGAAAAGCGGCTCTTCTTGAATTCCAGGGCCATTATTTCTGTACAAAATAGGAATTGGCAGATGAACGGACAGGACGGTGTCTGAATTCTCCGGTGCTGAGCATTTGATCCTTTACAACATGCGTAATATACGAAGCTCGACGCCTACAATCCCAATTCTGGCCAAAATAGCATCCACTAGTCACAAAAGCGGGCCTGCTAAACGAGGTACGACGCAACGGTGACGATTAGTCTGACTAGAGAATGCATGTCCAATGTGACGCCCAGCCTCCGACTAAACCGCAATGCATGTGTCAACGGCGGATCAACTCGTTCAAGAATAAACGTGTACTAAAGCAAAAACAGCAATCGGCTCTCGAAAGTCCCAGAAAAGCCAAACCCCCGGCTGTACTTATCTGAAAAGGTTAAAGCGCTGCTTCATGTATCACCCGCATTTCGCAGCCAAACAGACTAGCGAGTGCTCCGATCAGCCCACCCAAACCTTAACCGGCGATAGATTTTTATGTTTAATTTATTAGATACATTTTGTCGTTTAATTATGCCAATTCGTCAAGTCGTCAAATTCCGGATATCTCGTCAATTCTTGGCCTTATGGCGGTGGCATACCAGACACCGCGAGGTTGCGGCAGTGGAGCGCAGGCTCCTGGGCGAAATGGTGCTTTTGTGCGACTCGCCTGAACTGCTTTCCTTGGAAGGAGTCTTTTTCAATTCGTTCTTCGAGGGATTTTCCAAAACTCTCTTTTCAGAAACCTTCTTCAGATCCTTCTTCTGCTTTTTTGCTTCCCTCTTCTTGCTCCTCCCTTCGTTTTTGTGCTCCTTCGCTCTGGTTCTTTCCGCATGGCGCCAGGCCGCATACACCCTGCGCTGGGCCTGAGCAGCGAAAACGGCCCGCTGCGAATGGCCCGCCTGCTGCTGCTGAAGGTGCTTCTTTTCGGCGGCATCTCGCTCCAAATTGGCATGAACCTGCTCAAAAGCGGCGGCACGTGCCCGGCAAACAGTCTCTTCAAGCAGCCGCTCCGCCTCCATCTTGCGGAGCTTTTTGTGCTGTTTTTTGAGTTCTCTGGCGGTTCTTCGCTGGTGCCGGCGGTAGGCCCAATCTTCGCGGACAGAGGCGGTAAAGTGGGTAAAGCGGGCGCGCCAGCGGGCCACAAAACCTGGCGCCAGAGGTGCCGGTTTGGCTGCGAAAGAGACCGATGGGTCGGTCAAAGAGGCTTCAAAAAGCGGAATTGAGCTTGCGGCGGCGGTGTTTTGGCCAGAAAGGGGAAGATTTTGGCCGGGGAGGGAGGTGGTTGGGAAGGGCGAGGGCAAAGTGGGGGTTTCGTTTGGGCCGTTTCTGTTTGTGGCATGTGGGGTCTCAACGCTGAAGGCAGCGGAGAAGCCACGAGCAGAAGAAACCTGGGAGTTGTACATTGCAGGGTATGGCGGAACCTGAGAGTTGTAGTTTGCAGGATATGGCAAAGCAGAAGAAGGTTGCGAGTTGTAGTTCTCGGGATATGGGAGGTGCTCCAGAAGAGCATCCCAGTGATGGGAAAAGGTCTCTCTGGGGTGCACCTGCGAACGGTTCCCACAGTAAACCATGTAGGCGATTTCCTTCACGAGCTCTGGAAGCTGGCATTTGGGGTCCTTCTCAATCGCTCTAAGGTACGCCTCGTGAAGGGCCATTTCGGTGTTGCCTTCGCAAAGGCGGCTCACCTCTGCTATCTGGTCACAAGCCCAACCGGGCACTGGTTCCAGGGCAGCTTGGGCGATTTCTGTAGGGAAGTTTGGCGGTTCGGTCTTGCGGCGGGGTCTAGGAACCACCGCAATGGAACAATTGACTGGGGAAGTCTGGGGGAAGTTGGTGGAGGCGGCCTCTTGCTTGTGTCTCTGGGCTTCGTTGAAGGCTTCAGAGGTGGAGTGGGTGGTGGTCTTGGCGTGGATGCGCTTGGTCATTTCGAGTCTGAGTGTGCTGAACATTGTGCTGTCGAAATTCGGGAAAAATAAGTGGGTGGGGGAAAAAAAGATGGGTTTGTGGTTAGGGCAGGTTATATAGCACCGTTTTGCAACCGTTTGCGTGTGCAGGAAAATACCTGTCAAACCTTATGTCTGGGGAAAGTCCAGGTACGCCATTCTCTGTGGTCACGCATGGATTTCGAGGAAAGTGGAGCATGGGGGGGGCACTTTATCAAAAGAACACCTAATTATCATCAAATCCTCAAAAATCGGCACTCTCCTCCCCATTCACCGTAAACACTGGAACTGCGGCTTCTCGTAAGCCACACTCCGGTGCGTCTTACTAAACATCTTGCTCAATTTCCACTCCACTCTTCTTCTCCAACATGGTCAAACTCTCCGCCGCTGCATTCACAGAAACCAACCCTGACGTTTCCAAAGCGTTGTTCAACGCCACCGCCTCGATTGACGAGGCCAAGCTCCAGAAAAACGAAATCCTCATCACCGCTTTGGCACTTCCCATCAATCCATCAGACATCTTCCAGGTCCAGGGCTCCTACAAAACGCCGATTTTGAAGCAGGAGCTCGGAAACGAGGGCGACGAGCCGGAGGTGGCCGTGGGAGGAAACGAAGGTTTGTTCAGGGTCACCGCAATCGGGTCTCCTGATTTGGGCTACTCCGAGGGCGACTGGGTCATTCTCAAGTTGACGAGTTTCGGCACTTGGCGCTCCCATGCCATTGTCAGAGTCACGGACGACAACAAGGATCCTTTGATTGTGGTTCTGGGCGACCACGGCTCGGTTCCGATCGGCGACGCTGCCACAATTCTGACCAACCCTTCGACAGCGTACCAATTGATCCACAACTACATCAAGGACTGGTCCGCTGGCGAGTGGATTGTCACCAACGCAGGCAATTCCTTCGTCAGCAAGTACTTGTTCCAGCTTGCCAAACACTACAAGCTCAACACGTTGGCTATCATCAGAAAGAAGCTGGAGGAGCAGTACAAGAACACTGTGGAAGAGCTTTTGGGCTTGGGAGCTACCAAGGTTATTACTGATACAGAATTCACGGAAGAGTCGTTTGTTGCTGAAAAGCTCCCCAAAATCGTCGGTGACGCTCCTGTCAGACTTGCCTTGGACTCCTTGGGTGGACCAACTACCCCAAACTTGGTGGCCTCCCTTTCGCCCAACAACTACTTTGTCAACTACGGCGGACTTGCTGGAGGCCTTGTTTCCTTTGATCCTCGGATCCAATTGGCCAAGAATGTCACTTTGAAGAGCTACTGGTTGACCAGAAACACCAGGGAGAATCCGCAGACCAAGGTAGACACAGTCAAGGCGTTGATCGAATTGTTCAAGCAGGGCGTATTCAAACCTGTTCACTACAATAAGGTGCCGTTTAAGTCCGGCGATAATCTCCGTGATCTCTTTGTCAAGGCAATCCAAGACTCGTCAAACGGTAAGCAGGTTGTGACCTTTGAGGAGCACTATCTTTGAGCATGTACCTTATTGTCACAATGGCAACAATGTGTTGCAAGGTGTCGCTTGTAGGTCGATGTTTACCCGTTTTCTTGAAAAGCAGCTCCATTGTTAGGCCCAGAAACATTCTGCAAAATAGACGGTATTGTTGCAGATAACGTTTGTCCGTTGAGGTACATTATTTCGCAGCCATTTCTTATCTTTACGGGAGAGCAATACGATTTCCCGTTCGGCGAGATTTTTGCACATTTTTAGAAGTGAATGATTATTGGGAAACGACTTTCAAGAATGGCATATTGAGCTTCGCCAGCCCAGTTGCTACTTTTCACCACCGATATGAAAGATAAATACTAGTAATGATACAATTATTTTTTTAACTATATGCTTCCTTTTCAAAAAACAAAAATTCACAAAAAATTTCATACCCTCGTCACCGAAGAATATGTTCATCTTCCATCTCGGTCAGGAACCAAATCGTATCTCCATACAAAGCCTACATTGACTCTGAGTTTCGCGAGAATCAAGTCAACCCTTCTCACCCTACCTCCACAGAAACCCTACCCTTAATTGGCAAATCCAAGAAAAAGCCACCATCCAAAGTTTAATTCTCTTCAAACTCAGCCCCTCTACTTTTTCCCCAAATAAAAAAAAACTCCCCCACCTGAACCATACTCTCACTTAGTTAAGGATTCGGCCCGCGCGCTCTGTACACAGCAGAAAAAAAATCACCGAAAATCACCTCCACCTATTCCTCCTCCTCCAAATCATGGCCGATATATACGTGGTTGTACACCTAGAGACCACGTGGGACGTTGCGCTGCTGACTCCGCAAACCCACAGCCCTGCAGAGCTCCGTAGCCTCCTGTGGTGCGTGGTGGATGCCGATCTGTTGGAGCAGCTGAAGCCTGAGTGTCTTCATGTGGGAGACAACGACAAGAACGCCTTGACGTTCAAGGACGCTATTGGGGCGTTTGACAAGAGCGTCTCGGAGGCGGTGGCCCAGAAGGATTTCTCCTTCATCACTACAGACATACACAACTTGAGGGTATCGTTACCTAGAGAAGCTCGAGACAGACAGGTGGTGTTGCCAGTGTACTTGCAGCACCCGCGAGTGTTTGATCTTTTTAACGAATACTCCAAGTGGCAGCTGACGCACCCGGAGGCGTTGAGCTACCCTTCCTCATACCTCAGCAACTTGGTCACCGCCTTGTCTGTGGATGTGCCTGAAGACTGGGCATCTGACGAATCTGACGTTCCTTTGGTCGACATACACGCCCGTGTGTTGGCCCAACTAGCTCGCAAGTCTCTTCCTGTGGAAGAGCATCCGACGGTCCTCACCAAGCCGTACGACACGGCTCACGACGCCAAGGTCTTCTTGGCTGAACGCTCCAAGATCTTGTACTTGTCAAACTTGCCGTCTGATACAACGCAGTCAGAGTTGGAGTCGTGGTTCACGCAGTTTGGGGGACGTCCCATTGCATTTTGGACTTTGAAAAACGCCGACGGCGAGTCCAAGTCTCAGAACAAATCTAAGGGCATTTGTGGATTTGCTGTATTTGCCAAGCACGAGGAAGCAGCCCAGTCGCTCTTCATGAACGGTCGCGTGCTCAACGACAGGGTCGTCGAGGTGCAAGCATCATCCACTCGTGTCTTGGACAAAGCAGCCGACTTGTTGACGCCGTTCCCACTGTCAAAGAACCGCCCACGTCCTGGTGACTGGACTTGTCCCTCGTGTGGCTTCTCCAACTTCCAGAGAAGAATCGCTTGTTTCCGTTGTCTGTTCCCTGCCACAAGCGCTGTGGCAATCCAAGAGCAGATGTTCCTGGGTGCTCTCGACTCTTCAAATGGAAACTCTCAGCAGAGACGTCTCAAGCATGACGATAAAGTTGCTCCACAAGCTTACGGCAACTACACTGACTACTACTCGGGCTCCCAGATGAAGTCCGGTGGCTACAACTACAATTTCAACCACGGCCACATGGGCATGAACAACAACGGCGTTCCTGGAGGCTCAGGTGGCAACAACGGAGGCCACCGTATGCATTATGGCAATAGCGTGCCTTTCCGTGCTGGCGACTGGAAGTGTACGAACGAAAATTGCCAATATCACAATTTCGCCAAAAACCTGTGTTGCTTGAAGTGTGGCAGAGCCAAGCCAGCATCGGTCAACTCAGGTCACAACCATCATAATAATCATCATGCGGGCCATAACAACAACCACGGCCACGCCAACAACCACAGTCATGGTCATCACCACGGTCACCACAATAATAATAACAATAATCACGGTAACCAGGGCGGCCACAACAACCATAATGCTGCTGCCGCTGCCGCCGCTGCTGCTGCTGCAGGGTCGATCCACTCTGTTAACACCACCGCTGCTGCTATTGCGGCTGCTACTGCTAGCGGACAGCCTTTGAACCTCAGCAATAACTTCTTGGGTCTTCAACAACCTCAGGCTCACCTGACAAGACATGGACAGGGTCTGCACGGCTCTCAGTCCTCTTCGTCTTCTCCAATTCAGAATGGTGGACTTTATTCTAACATTTCCCAGTTACAGCAACTTCAGTTCCCTCAGAAACTGGGTCAGCAGAACCTTCAGAGCCAGGATCACCTTGGACAGGGCGCAGCTCACTTGCCACAACATTTGGCGTTTTTGCAGAGCCAATCTGCTTCACCTCAAATGCAAGGTCAGCAGCGCCAAAAGTCGAGTCTGTCTGGAAGCTCTCCTGGGCTTCAAGGCTCTGGCTACCCATACAAGGGTCAGCAGCACCCTGAGGAAGGGTTGCTTAACAATTCGGGAATCAATTTACTCGGGAATCAGATCAAATCATTGAGCCTTAATGACCAATGAGCGGAAAACACGGCTTTTTAATTTTTATACTTTTTTATACTTGGAAGGAATATGGAGGTGTTCAATGAATGTCCTACTGGTTTTTTTACCTTGTTTGACTTATGTGCTTTGCACTTGTTTTATTGATGGGATGAGCTATATTCATCCATCGGGGCTAGAGAGAGAGAGATACGAATGGTTTGAAGAAAAGGATAGATAGCTGTACATATCTTATAAGCTATTGGGTGCAAAAAAAAAAACGCCTAACTGTAGTGTGGAAAACCTCGATTTTCCGGCATACGGTGCAGAACACGTACCCTGTCCGAAATACATCTGGAGTCTAAACAGAAAAGAATAGGATACAAGAATTGCAAAATGGCCGATAAATATTCCATTATTTTGCCCACTTACAACGAGAAGAAAAACTTGCCCATTCTCGTGTACCTTTTGGACAAAACCTTCAGAGAGGAAGGTATCAACTGGGAAGTTGTGATTGTCGATGATAACTCTCCAGATGGAACTCAGAAGGTTGCCGAAAAATTGATCGACATCTTCGGCCCTGAGCACATTCAGTTGAGAGCAAGAGCTGGCAAATTGGGTTTGGGTACCGCCTACGTTCATGGTTTGCAGTACGTTACTGGTAACTTCGTCATTATCATGGACGCTGATTTCTCCCACCACCCAGAGGCCATTCCTAAGTTCATCGCCAA